AGATAGATAGATAGATAGATAGATAGATAGATAGATAGATAGATAGATAGAGATATAGATATATAGAGATATAGAGATATAGATATAGAGATATAGATAGATATAGATAGATATATATATATATAGATATAGTTGTCACAATAGCTGAAATGGCACACATGTACAATCTATGCTGTGATCTTCATTTAAATGGCAGGCTGTTTATGTTTCCATTATGCTCCAAATTGCACATGATCAAAACGCTGGACTGTAAGGAAAGGTGGAAGTTCAAACCTACTGTGTAATATATAGTATTTCGATTTCAAATTTTAGGAAGAGAGTAAATGGGAAGACAAATTGGAAACTTCCTCACATTTTTGGTAAAATTACATTTTTTCCTACTGATGAGGACACTATCTTAATGCTGAAACTGCTACTACAGTAGTTCACTTAAAAATACTCAGGTCTAAAGATGACGATCAGAAGAGGCGATAGATAGTAAGATCAATAGGAACCGATAAGGAACCTTCACCACAAACCTCGTAAAAATGACAGAACTCAGTCCCATGAAGTCTGTCCTATCAGATAGATATTGGCAGCTAAGAACAATGACTTTCTACAGCTGATGATTAGCTTAATGCAGTAAGAGTCTCTGGACAGCAGGACAGGAGCTTCAGAGCACGGATCATATACCATCCGACAGCTCCTCAAAAGGGCAACATTAATGATTTGATCAACATAACCCATCTGCAAAGGCCTTGGAAATTAATCCTAGCCTTTCCCGATAAAATAGCCAGATTGTATTTCAATCCAAACAAAATGCATCTGGGATAAGACCTGCTGTAACTGAAGTCAACTGCTCCGTGACAGACTACAACAGCTTGTTGCTTCAGTGTAAGCAAAACTCTTGTTTTGTTCATTTCTCATTCTAGTTCACACAAGCTCTTCTTCTCTTTTGTGACGTGTTCTCTCTCACTCTCTCTCTCTCTCTCTCACACACTTCTCCAACTTAATCTCTTTTCCTCTCCTTTTCTGTGTGACAGTTACAGAGGCATGACAGCGGGGTAAGCCGGTGCCGACCTCTAGCACCCAGTTACGTAACATGCAAACAACTCCAGGGCTAAAGTATAAGGTAGCCAAAGGTGAAGACCACGCGCGCACACACAGCTGAACTACACGTCAGCTGCTGCTGCTCCTCTTCAATCCCATATGGTCCCATGCCGGCTAGGACGCTGTGGGCTGGTGTTAAGAGACTGATGCTGCCACGTGTGGTGAGATGCAGCTGTAAAGGTGAAACAGTTTGACACAAACTGAGAACAACCGCCGCCAAATATGGCCACGTACAAGACATGCAAGTTTTAATGAAAGGTTGCCTGGAGGCAGCAGCCTTGACTTGTTTCAAGGGATCTGGGGTTGTTTTTTTTAAGGTTTTATAGTTACAAAATGATCAACAAGCACGACCAACCACATTAAAGTTAGGTAATAGAACAATTTCTGGTTGAAACATTCAGCTCTATTGAACATGCAGAGGAGGAATTTAACAGTAATATGCCCCTGAACGTTTCATCAACAACACATCTGTTACGAATTAAATCTATCCGGAGAGGAATGTTTATGTCTTAATAGGAATATAAATTACTCAAAATTCCCCAAAGCTACACGTATTAACAGTTTGCAATTATTATCCACCTCAATTCTTCAATGTCTTCTTCCTTCGAACAACAGCAAATGTTTCCTCACACAATAACACACTTGAAAACACGTTACTTGTGTAAACATAAGCGACATTTTAGAAGACCATTACTTCTTCAGAAGGTGTATTTTTTTAATCAATTCCTATCCAACGTGTCTTACGATTTCAGGCAGGTGTTCTGACACAAAGAAATATGTCACGAGACCATTTTCAATCCAGAAAACAGTGAAAGACACCAACGTTAATGTGGTTTTGGGCAGTCAAACCAGTCCAGCTATCACAACCACTGTCAACCTAGCAGCGAGGCTAGCTAACGTTACATTTATTATTATACACATGTGTATATGTATATACACACCCTAAAACACACACACCAATATGTCAGTGTTACAAGAAGTCATATCAAAGTAAGACACATACGTTGAGTTCAACTTTAGAAAGGTTGGGTGAGGCCGGCTGGCTAGCAGGAAGCCACTAGCTAACTACGTGTCATATAGCAGGCGACGTTGCATCACGGCTACGTTAGCTAACCAGTTAGCAGTTAGCTGTAACAGTAATACTTATTATTAGTACCAACACCGGGTACTTATAACAGTTGGAATGTTTCCCCTTTAAAAATATAAATATGACCGTTGAAATACGTAAAAACAGCGGGTCAACTTCGCCCAGCTCTTCGATGTATAAGCGAGTTTAGCCAACTTGGTGTTAGCAATGCTGATGTAGCATCTATAGCATTGCCGGGATAATTTGCTAGCAAGAAATGCCGAACGCTCACATTAAGTAATTTTAATTTAATTAATACTTATTTTATTTAAACACTTACCCGTTTCTAGGTGTAGAATAATTTACTGAGAGCGTTCAGTCTTTTATAATCATGTAAATTTGGTCTCCCGGTCCAAAAAAAAAGAGAAATGCCAGGTCTTCCTCTCCTTTTTTCGTGTTTTGTTACTGAGCCACGACACTGCAATGGCTGTCCAGCAACTCCCCAAAAAACTCTGACCAGCCGCTTCCTGTTTGTGTTTCACAATCATATTTCCGGTAGGGAACTGAAGTAAGCCTCAGTGTTCCGTTTTTTCGCTATTATGGTACAGGTAAATAAAATAACAGTAGAAATATTAAATATCAAATGAAAATATCAAATACACAGTAAGGATAACAGTGTAAAATATTAGATATAAAAGTGTATACAATGAAATAGAATAAAACTAAATTAACTAACTAAACAATAGTGCAAATATTTAACCAAACAACAAACAAACAGAGTAACGGTGTTATCGTTTTGTGATTGTACAGATTGTACAGTGTTATTGCAGTGAATTAGATTGTAAAGTAATTTATAGTAATTAAAATGATCCGTTAGGCACTCTAATGTTACTTCACCTATTGGTGGAAATTACTCTGGTAAGTGTTTGAATTATATATGACCAGATTATAGGATATTTTATTTTTTAAATGCATAAAAAAGGGCGATTGTACAAACAAGAAAACATATTTTTACCCTCTGCTGTCTCTCCTCTTGTTTCCAATCGACTTAAATACCAAGAGCACAGGCGGAAATGCCACGTGTCCATACTGCGCATGCCCGACGAGTTTTACGTTGATCCTGGGTGATCCCAACTTCCGGTGAAAGAGGAGAAGTGTCTCACACGATTACTCCGACTAGGCCTATCGGTACTCACCTGTTGGTAGTTGAACGGGGGTTTTAGGTGATAGCCATGGCCCTGTGATTACCGATTAGTCAGCTAATTAACTTTTTAAAGAAATAAGGAGACGTCACCATATACGCCGCTTTGAGTCACATCGTCACGAGCCACAGGTTTGAACGTTATAACTAGTTAGCTAGCTTAAAGACGCAGCTAGCTATTAGCCAACCAAAGCACCTCTAAATTAGGTCCTGGTGTCTATTTTCAAGATGTCAACTGCGGGGTTTAACTCTCGGAATGGTACAGGGACAGGACAGTCTTATGCGAATGGTAAGTAACATTCATAGAAAGTGAGGTCAAGGAAAAGTAGCTAACAAGAGCTATAAGAAGCTAACTACTAGCAGCACTTCTTGAATCTTGAGGCTATTGCTAACTGGTTGGCTAACGTAACTGCCTTGCTGTAACTTAAGAGAACGTCAATCAGCTGTCACATATAGTTACGTCTTGCCTCACTGACTTAAGATGGTACAAGTAGTTATGTAGACTAACTGTACCTGACATGCTAGTGCTAGTTGTGGTTTATCAAGTTAAGAACGGGTCGACAGACTGAGTGGTCAACCGGCATCATAACTTCTAAGACAGATGTTGGGTTTTCACATCGTCTCTCTAATATGATCACACCGTCAACCTTTCACTTGTTCTTGTCCTGTCAAGCTGCTCAGTTTCTCTCTCTCCCCCCCTCTCTCTCTCACTCCCTTC